AATACCAGAAAAATGTATAAAAAATGATTTCTATTGACATTCATCCCAGAAGTCAATGTTCAGGTTCTCGTTGAGATAAAGGTCAGAGTTTTCCAGATATTCTACTGTGTTCTTTTAAATGGTGAGAAATTTAGTTGAGTCGAACAACGACTTGTCGATTCATTCAAAGAAAGAGAAAAAATTGGGAAAACATTCCCAAAAAAAAATTTGGCCACGTTTTCGCGAATTATTGCAGATTTGCAATGCGACCTATGACATTCGAAATATAACCGAAAACTACGCATTTTTTGTGCTTACAAAATTGCTCGTAAAACGAGTGGTTTTCTCTTAAATCCAACATTTTCCCTTTTTTTTTTTTTTTTTTTTTTTTTTACAAGCACACTGTCGATTTTTTCCGTAAAGAATCAGTAAGTTTATTGAGAAACAAGCTTACTTTCTCTCCCAATTACCAGAAAAAATTCGAGTAGCGAGAATTACCGATCTTTGCACACGTGCGCTCAGCAAACAGTGGATGCTAGAAAAAATGTATATTCCACAGTTTTTCGTGTCTTTTTTTTTCCCTTTCATCTGATGAAAACAGTTTTCTATTCAGATAATTAGTTTTCGAGTTAGGTATATAAGAAAAAAGTACGAGAAATCAAGAAAAAATTGTTTTGCAATTTTTTCAAAAAGTATTGCAGATTTCGCCACTCAACCCGTCTCATTCGGAACGTAACTAGAAAATACGTATTTTTGTCATGCAGCTAAAACTTGTCACCCCCTAATCTCCGAACTCGTGAAAAAAATTGAAAAACGCTTAGACCCGTCGATTTTTATTTCAAGGGGGAACACTTTCACCAAATACATCATCATTGTGTTGTCAACCCCCTCATCCCAGCACCCCCTACTTCAAAATTTTCAATGGGACTACTCACTTGTGATACATCATTTTAAAGGGAATTTAATCCCAAATACATCGGTGTACTGAAATTGAGGAACGATCAAGTGTTGTTGAAGTTTTAATGAAAACTAAGTTTTATCAAGATATTTTTATTTTTCATCATCTAAAATGTTATCATCGTAATTAGATTCACTGTGGGAACGCCACTGTATTGAAAATTAATATGCTTTCAGAAATAATAGATTAAAAGGTAAGACAGACGTTTTTATGAAAAAAAAAAAAAAAAAATTATGGCTATGTGTTTTTGTATACGCATATCTTTGTTGAAACCTTGGTATATTGATGTATTCGATTCACTTCATTTAACAATTTGAAAACTGTCGAAAATGTTTTATACTATACAAGAGATGATATCCATTGTAGCTGCGTATTTTGAAAATGGACGATGTGCTAGAGCTACGGCTCGAAGTTTCAATGAAATTCATCCAGAAAAAACCACATCATATCAGTACGTGATTCAATTGATGAATAAGTTCCTGGAGTCGGGATCAGTGCTGAATAAAAAACATGAACGAGAGAAGCCTATGAGAAATGCAAGGGGTCGCTGTTGCAGTTGTAGGACATGCAGTGATGGACAACATTCAATCTTTAAGACAACTTGAGACTATTTCTGGAGTTTCTAAAAGCAGCGTATATCGAATTCTAAAAGAAGCAAAATTACATCCTTATAAAATGCAGAATGTACAAGAATTAAATGAAGATGATCCTGACAGACGTACAGAGTTTTGTGAAATCATGAGTCAATTATTGATTGGTGATAATAATTACCTCTACATTGTGTGCTTTTCTGACGAATCTTCTTTTTATTTAAATGGACATGTGAACAGACACAACTGCAGATACTGGAGTGACGTAAATCCCCATTGGTACAGGGAAACTCATTCACAAATTCCCCAGAAATTGAATGTTTGGACTGGTATTCTGGTAGATCATATTGTAGGTCCATATTTTATTGATGGTAACCTCAACGGACAAAAGTATCTTGATCTTCTTGATACAACTCTGAACCCCAGAATCACTGAATTACTTGAAAACGATGATGGTTTACTTGAAGGTCAGCTCACCTTTCAACAAGATGGAGCTCCTCCACATTTTGTTGCACCTGTACGTCAATTTTTAGATGACAATTTCACAGGGAGATGGATTGGAAGGCGAGGACCAATAGAATGGCCGGCTAGATCTCCTGATTTATCACCATTAGAATTTTTTATGGGGTAATTTGAAATCCAAAGTTTATATTACACAGCCAAATTTTCTTGATGATCTACGCAGGAGAATTGTTGTAGAGTGTCGTGCAGTGACTCCAGAAATGTTGAGAAATGTGCGAAGACATTTCGAAAATCGCTTATACTTCTGTATGGAACTGAATGGTTCACATTTTGAACCTTTCATATGATGATAACATTTTAGGTGATGAAAAATAAAAATATCTTGATAAAACTTAGTTTTCATTAAAACTTCAACAACACTTGATCGATCCTCAATTTCAGTACACCGATGTATTTGGGATTAAATTCCCTTTAAAATGATGTATCACAAGTAAGCAGTCCCATTAAAAATTTTGAAGTAGGGGGTGCTGGGGATTAGGGGGTTGACAACACAATGATGATGTATTTGGTGAAAGTGTTCCCCCTTGAAATAAAAATAGACGGGTCTGAGCGATTTTCAATTTTTTTCACGAGTTCGGAGATTAGGGGGATGACACGTTTTAGCTCCCATTTCAAGTTTTCTTGTAAATAACTAAAAACAGGTGTTAGAGAACAAAAAACAAGCTTATCACCAAGTTGGAACTTACACAGTGTTCTAATTTAAAAAAATTGAACACATCTACATCTTTTTTGCTTTTTTTCGGAAAGATCACATCAAAATACATAAGGTCCACTTTGTTTTATCCAATTACAAATTAATGTAAGCTTTTTTTCGTTATTTATTTGGACTATATTTCTAACGAATAAACTACCGATGGAGTTAGAAGTTTTGAAACTTATTCTGAAGGAATCATTAGACAAGTAATGCATACTATCGATTAGGTTCTGATCATAATGGTTATTATTAATTTGTTTAATTACATAGGGATGTTCTAAATAACAATTGAATGCAGCTAACTTATGTGTGAAGCTGGGTGATTAGATAAATTATCTATAATGACACCTGTTAGCGTAGATTTTCTAAAGATATTAAATTTAAACTGCTGAAATGAGTAATATTCAAATCAAGGAAGTTTATAAATTTGTTGTTTTCTATCTCTAAGGTAAATTTAATATTATGTATGTTGTTTATATAATTTAAGAAGTTATTAAACTTATCTAGATCACCAGTCCAAAGTTAGTATGTCATCGACATAATATCTGTGATAAAATTTAATAGATGTGGAATATTCATTGTTGTTCAAGATATTATGCATAAAGAAGCCAGCACGTATACATTATCGTGGTGAACCCATAGCTAATCCAGTTATTTGTGTAAATAATTCATTGTTGAAAGAGAAAAAAAATTTGTTCAAGACTAATAGTAAGTTTATAAGTTCAACTAATTCATCCTTTCAATACATTGACTACATGGCTTTCCATTTAAGTGTGCCTGATGATGAAGTAATTACTTCGAAACTTTTCTTTACTTTTACTTTACTCAATGTTAGAGAATAACTAAAATTCGTGACAAGTTTGTACAGTTCCTTGTGATTTTCCCCGAAGATGAATAGAACATATTTCTTAAACAGTGAAATACAAAAAATATTGTACCGCCAGGCATAATATTTCAATCACAATAAGTGCTGACAAACATATGCAAGTCGGATCAATATTCTATTTCTGTAATCGGATGATGGATGTAATGCGAAATTATTCTGTAATCGGATTATATAAAAAAAATTATGCACACAATGTTCTCTACGGGTTTTTAATTAACTTTTATAACATCATTACTATATTCGAATTTGTTGATATAAAGTCGGCGAGATTGATTTATTTATTATTATTAATTTATGCTGGTCACATATTGTCGTTGGCTGTCAATTAGCCTTATACGTGTTGTTATTATTGTCATTTTATTATCATAAGAAGATTAGAGCCTACGTATAAGTAAAATGTATGTATTTAAATTTCGTGAGATTGGAAACTTTAAAATAACAAGGATTACGGCCAATGTCTCGGTTTAATATTGTCATTTTTGAAGGATAAGTAGAAATACAAATATTTGCATAATCTGTGTCTAAATGTGTTTATTATTATCAGATATACGAGTTTATATGAAATCTACAGGTATGGAAATTTTAAATATTTTTTTTTAGCAATCTACATAATTCGAGAAGTTAATTATTAACAATATCTGTCAACTTTAGTATGAATTGGAAGATAAATATTTTATTATGTATCAGGTCAGGAAAATGAAACCAGAATAAACTAGTAATTTGAGACACTCAAATTTTATCCTTGATACAAGGATAAAATTTCAAATATACAGTATTCGCCAAAAGAAATAGTACCAAATTTTAAGGTTGCGGTTGTGTGGAATTGTCACAGTTCTGAAATAATGATAATGGATTTAAAAGTTTAGAAAACGTTCCTGCAAGGGAAATGAAACTGGTAGGTGCCAACAGTAGGGTGGGCAAAAAACAGCAAAAAAAATCGATTTCTAAAAATATATGATAAACTAGTGCAAAAATGCTCTAAAAAAAGTTGGGCCATTTTACTCAATTTTTAACCGGGCCCCTAAGGAGCCAAAAGGGCCAATTCTTGTCTTTTGTTTTTTAACTTCAGACACCGAAACAATTTTTGATAATAGCGTCTTAAAGCTCCCATTAAAAGTTTTGTTAAAAATAATAATATTTAGCCGGGCCCCAGAGGGTATCAAAAGGCGTATTTTGCAGCTGAAAGCCCTAGTTGTGCAGCATTTCGCATGGTTTGATACTTTTTACAAGCTGACTATTTTGATATTAAATAAAAAGTATTAAACCACCCCAGAGCTCACCATATGGAGGTAGCTGCACCCTGATGTCCAACCACCCTCTCACCCGTTATACAACTTACTCTGTCTTCTGCGTATCTATTGTTTTGTAGTATTATCCTTTATTCTCAAACTTAGGCAATATTTTTTTTGCTTCCAATTTGGTTCTGATATACCCTTCTCTTGATATTTCACCACAAACTTTCAACGACGCCACTGTTACAGTTTTGACGCATTTTTCCACGGTTTGCGTATGACATGGAAATAAGTCAATGATAATGGTTTCTTTCCCTGTAATAAGCTGTTGCAAGCAATTATCTGAAAGTTTCATTACCAATGGCGATTCTGTAATGGTACATTTTTGCCAGTCAGTAAGATTAATGTAATATTCAGCTTCAAAATTAATTTTAGGTGTTTGTTGTCTAGCTTTCAATATCCTGCGAATTGCCAATTCTCTTACAAAGTCACGGGGATCAAACATCATTGCCAATAATAAATTTACCGGGTGTGAAAAATAAGCTTTAGTTGACACTACTCTTTCAAAAATCTTTTTGATATTTGTTGGTAACTCTCTAGATGCTTTAATTGCGTGCCAAAAGTGAATTGCCCCATAATGTAGCTGTGGTGTTGTCTTAATTTGAAACCACATTGGGACGTAAACCTTTAAAATAAACGTGGTGATATATTTAAGATTATCATAGGGATTGTCAGTAGCTACATATAATCGTAGAAGCCCATTACTTCTGGTGAGCCAAGGGGCATAGCTCATTTTCCCGGATATTTATTTGTCAAGTTATCCGTAATAATTCCAATACTATTAGCTTAATAAATTTGATATAAAAATTGTTGGTCCGTGCTTAAATCTGTCTCTGTAAGTTCCGGAAGTTGTGTAGTAATAGGTTAAAATTTTACCACTGGCATTTTTTTGCAATCCTTAAGAAGTATTTCTAAAGGCACCGAGAAAGAATAAGGCCCTTTGGTACTGCCATCCAACTCTTGTAGTATTTGCCTTAGTGGTAGTTCATTGGTATGGAGCATACAAATTCTCCAATGAACCGGTTTGCCAATTTTTATTTTTCGAATGATACCGCCTTTTCATCCCGTATTTACATTTGTTACATCACAACCAAGGACAACCAAATTTTCAAGAGAGGTATTCTGTGTCTGTAAGCACGATAGTAACCCTTTGGTTATTTCTTCAGCATTTCCTGCAGTTTGTAGCGAGACGTGTCCAACGTAATTCCATTCTTTTGGAGTGTAAGTACGATCTGGATAGTCTTTATCGATATACGGGTATACAGGACCGGACTTGCAACATTTTTTATGAATTTTCAGAGACCCTGGGGCCCGGCTAAAAATAACTTTAGAACGATAAAATATGGCGTGTGTACTTAAAAGTACTTGGTAAATCGATTTTTTACTACCGGAAATCAAAATTTAAAGAAAAAAAAATTAATTTTAGGGGGTCCCTGGGGCCCGGCTAAAAATTAAAATTTTTTGTTGAAATTTTTTGGGCATACATTAATAGGTACACAGCTTTTTAGGGCTACGTTATTTTAATTTTCGAAAAATGGATTTTTCGGCCCACCCTAGCCAACAGGTCCTTAATTGTAAAAATTGCCAATATACCTAACAAAGTTTTTTTTTATTTTTTGGATTGTGATGCAAAAAATAAGTATATAAAAGCCAACGACGAACAATTATTAGATTAATTTTGTTTACAAAATCCAAATTACAAGCATTCACGCTGTTATCCACGTAGTTACCAAATTATTATGGGAAACTATAGAAGAGTATTGTTACAAGGTTTTTTTTTATTAAAATTAACGTGTCTCGACTGCTGAGGTCATTGACACAACTACAATTATATACAGAGTGATTTTACAATAGTGTTTTCATAAAGTAATTTTGATTTAAATTTTATGAAAAAGTTGAACGACTTTTTAGAAGTTAAACAGACACTGGTATTCTGTAGGTTCCCCTAATTTTTCTTGAAATCTTGATTTCAGCTTGTTTCGTCTCCTTTGTTCGGAAAAGTGGTCACAATCTATCATAATATGTTTTACAGTCAAGACGCTGTCACAGTATCCTTGTTTATGGTTATAATTAGGATTTGACTTAACATTAGGGCTCTAAAACGCACAAACGTCTTTAAATATTACGGCATGGAAGTATATTTGGATTCTTAGTGCTAGTATTTTTCTGGTTACAACTATTATTGTAACTGAAGGTGATTTACAAGAAGATTCACCATTTATTTACAGTGTGGCAAAGATGTAAAGAAGGAATCATAGTAATACGACTGATTCATTCATAAAACGCGTGCTCTAACTTCAGATATACAACCTTGCACAAACGATACTCACTTAATTTAGCAGTCGTCTCGCTCTTTATAATGCGTAGTTTTTCGATAAAAAATACATAGAAGCTATATTTAGGAAGAGAAATTTAAAAAATTCGAGAGACGCTAAAATGGTGGTTCCCACCTTATCGAGACTGAGGCCCGCAAGGGTAAACTCGTGGCGTAACACAAACGAGAAATGATTTAACTTGGAACGAAAGACCGAAAGCTGATAGTAGTATCATTACGTTGAATTTTTTGTTTTGTGAAACATTGGCATTTTTTTTTGGTATAGTCAAAGCATTGGCATTACTTAGGTTAAACCATGTGATGATTTTGACAAGCCTTGATTTTCAAAATAATTCTTTATCGCCTTTTGATTAGGGTTTAAAAACTTGTTCGAGCAATTTATCCAATAATAATTGTCCCGTTTACCTCTTAGGCCTGCTCATGTAAAATATTTGGGCTCCTTACTTCGCCTATTTATATTCTATTAATAAAGGACAGAAGGATGAGTATTGCAACTATGTTAAAAGAAATAAATTGGCTTTCAGTTCAGAATTATGTTCAGTACATGACTGATATTTATTTATAAATTAAAAATGACATAAATCCATCGCATCAAATCTATTAGAAAAAATTCAATATAATTCACAATATCACAACTATAATAGAAGAAGCCAATCTGACTTTCATGTACGGCAAGCCATCACTAAAAGTTCCCAAAATACAATTTGATAGACTGCCTACAAAAATTAAAAAAAAAAAAACAAATTTATTCAAAAGTAACCTCAAACAATACTTGATAAATAAACCGAACGGATATACTTTCTTGTGATAATACGCTTTAAACCTGCCCTTTTTAAGTAGTTCCCTTAATTTATTGTTATTTTACCCCTCGTTTTACTACTTACTATGTTTAAATTATTAATAGTTTTGCGACGATAGGTTATAGCAACTTATAGCCACAAAACTATTTTTGTGTTAAAGTAGATCCACAGAGAGCAATGTAATTTACAAAGGCCTTCTTTCAACATACAAATAAATGACAACCTGCAATATTCCATTGACCCGTTAGGCTACAATTTGCAATATTATTTGTTACCTTTTTGATAAATGTTAATTTTAAAACACTTATAGAGATTTTTACTAGCTCAGTGAAATTTAATATCAAACGTTACTTACCTTTAAAAATTAAAAAAAAAAAATAAATGAGCACATCCTTTTCTCGGTCGTGAATTCGGCTTTTCAAATAGACAATTTTAAGGGTAGTAATCTTTCTAGGAAATGTTGGGCACCAATAATTCTCTTTTTTATTTTTTAAAAGCTAGTGAGAATTATAAATTCTAGCTTTATCAATAAAAAGAAGTTAAATAAAAATTAAACAGAATTTAGTGAATGAAAGAGAATTTTTGTGACCATTAAAAAATAAGATTCAACATATATACTTATAAAAATCAACGATTTTATTAAAAAAAAGAAACCTTTTCGAAAACAAATTATTCATAGTTATCAGATATCATTAAAATTGTGATTCGTACATAAATAATTCTAGTCACTAGTAATTACCAATTGTTTTATTGCTAGTCACTTGTAGATAACCATACGTAGTTTCTGTCCCTCGGAAACCAACGCCATTGTCTGTTAATATTCCTTCTATGAAGCTTCGAATTGTAGCTGTCGCCTTTCCAAATCAAACAACTCCTCGGGAACCAACGTTCAGATTACAGCGGTAGAATGGTTTTTTACGGCTTTATAACGTTCGGATTATGACGTTATGGCTTATGTCGTTATGGCTTATGGCGTTATGGCTTATGGATTTATGGCTGATTCCATTCGTTTGCTAGACAAAAATAGATTTTGTTTTTCACGTGGTTCTGTACGATATATAAATTTGAAACATCTACTTTTTTAAAAAAAAAAATGAACCAATCAGATAACAAAAACTAGTGAATATACATATTGTGCCGTTCTAGCAACCAGAATGAATTATAAAAATATATTTAACTTTACTATTAAAAAACTAATAATTAACAAAAGGTTTGAATAATATTTCTACTGAGATATTTAATAAAGACATTATATACTTTTTATGCTTACCACTTTAACAGCCAAATGCACCACCGATACAATCGAAAGGTAATAATAAAATGAAATTTACAAATCTAATTTGAGATCGTTTGGTTAGTGGTACTCCCACTTCAAGAAATGTCCCTTTCTTTAGAATATTGTGTGTTGGTGATAATTATATTATACCGGATGGCACACATTTAAAATAACATTTTATAATTAGACTTTTAAAATGTTACAAACCTTATAATTAAAATGAAAAACACAACAAAATACTTCGGTATCATAATTGATCAAAATTTGAAATGAATTGATCACATTACGTCATTAAAATCCCAAGATAAGAAGATTCATTTTTAAATTTTATGAATTGAGGAAATGTATGTCTAGGAGTTTACTAATTATTATTTACAATTCGCTGGTTGAATATGTAATCCAAAACTGTATAATTAAAACTATCTACAAAAAAACAGAATTATATCCTAACTCTTTTATATAATAAAAAAGTGCTTTGTGTAAGAACATTATATTATTTGTCTTGCTGTACCTTTATTTATGGAAAGCCTGTCTTGAGATACACTACAAATTATTTGCAATAAATATCAAAAGAAGCATACATTTTTAAATAATTTGACATTTAAGAGCCATTCACACATCACAGTTGATACTTGACAGGCACAGCCAAGCGTTATTCTGCTTTTTTTGCCAAATAAAATAGCCGGTTAATTATTCTATGAGGTTCCGACAGAGAGCCAGTAAATTTGATGAAGGTGTTTTTGTGGCTAGTGGCGAAATAGTAGTACGCTTAAGTTAGCACCACCATAAAAAAGTCATTTTTAAGAAACTGCTTATATATTTTTCATGAATTGACAGGCTGGCGACTAATTTCGAATAAAAATAGCCTTCAAAATGGCTATCGTTGCAAGTATGAAGGTCGCAACCCGCCTTAGAAATTTCACCTTTACTATCAACAGCTGTTGTTTGACAGGTCGTTAGAGAATGTTTGTAATTTATGGAATATTGAGAATGTTAGGAATGTTGACGTTAGAAATAATTGGAATTCCTAAAATTGTCACATAAGAATTGCATAGGCGAATTTTAAGAAAATTGATATTAAAGTAGTTAGGATGAACCGAAAATTCTGAAAATCAATAGAGTTCTAAGTTAGAAGTAATTATTCAAGAAAATCAAAACCGTAAGTCAATCAGAACTTTCGTTCTAGAATTATTGTGCCGGCATACATACACACAGACGACCAGACGAAAAATTTTTTTTTTGCATTTTGTACTCGGAATGATCGGAAACATGAAAAAAAGTTTTAATAAATGTGGGTAAGAAAATTTTTTCGTCTGCACGAATGCAATACTGAGGCCTCATAGGAAGGGTCTCAGTAATTGCCACTAATAAATTAATTATATCACATATCATCTATATCATATTTTACACTCCTTAGTTTTTCTGCTACTGTTTAATTTTGTAATCAGACAAAGCTGCTTTAATAGCATCTTCAGCAATGCAACTTAACCGGAGGCAAAGACAATTCTTTGGCGATTTCAGTGTTCTTTAATTTAAGGGCCTGATCTACTTACTTGCCTTTCACCCATTCTGTAGTATACGAACTGCTAGCGATTGCAGAACCACAGCCAAATGTTTTGAATTTTGCAATCTACGATTTTACCACTTTCGTCTACTTTTATTTTCAATTTCATGACATCTCCACATGCTGGGGCTCCAACGAGTCCAGTTCCAACGGTTTTGTCGTTTTTGTCCAAAGATCCAACATTTCTTGGGTTTTCGTAATGTTCAATAACATTTTTGTGATACCCTGAAGTGGTTGCTCTGATGTAGGGTACACTTAAACTGCGTAAAAGTTTTGATGAAGCAATTAGAGACATTTTCTAATTTGTAGTTGTTCTTTTTTTAAAATTGAATAAATTTGAATTATAAATTATAAGAATAGAAATTATTTATCGTTGATAATTCCTTGTACTAAAAGAAAAAATGTTTATTTTTCTAATCGCATTCACCATCTTCGGAATTATTCCTAAATCTTCATTTTGTGAAAAGTGTGTAGCTTTTTTGTTTTAAACTGTTTGTATCTCTACATGTATAAATAATTTGTCATATTCCTAAGAATTTCTAGATATCACTTCATCCACAAATTAAAATTCTATCTATCATAAAAAATCAGTTTCTGTGACGGCCGGTCTACAGTTTAAATGGAAAGTATTCATACCTATCATATTATGGAAATCGACTTGTGCACACTTCCTTCTAATTATCTATTCTTTGGTATAGGCGCGCATCTCGGGCTTAAATATTTGCCTGACTCAAACAGTGCATTGTTTCAGATTTTTTCGCCGATGCATACAATGGCAATAGGAATCACCTTTCTGACGACCGGCAAAAATTACCGATAAAACTACACTTGAATAGACTCGAGAGGTTTGCGGAACGGTACCGGCTGTTAATATTTATAGAAGGCGTGTCGTTATTCGTGACAATGACATTGCGCTTCAAAGATGAAATTCATACAGTCATGCGGCATGCACGCCCCACTGGTGCTAGTAAAAATTCTTTAGGGACGGTATTTCGTCAAGCAGGTTTTCAATTTTTGCAAACGCACCTTCGACTGTGTCACTTTGGAAATTGTGCTAAATATTTTTACAAGACGACCCTTTGTATATTGTCTACAACATAAATAACGAGGAGATGTAACTACTAACAAATATCGTGCGGTCCTGAATAAGACATATTCTAAGGGACGCAGGCGGGTATAATATCCGCTGTTGTCATATGCTTATTTCATTATTCTCGTTTTGTTTACAAAATTATTTACATACATTAAAAAAGCTAAAATAATTCAACCCATTTTATTGCAATTAAACCCAAAAAATTTGAATCATTAGTTATATTAAATATAACTAAATTATGTGTAATTTCACTAAATTAGATGTAATAATTTTCAATAAATTACAAAACCTACTCATGTTAGGTTGGAAGTGGCAACAGGGCTTACATCAGCATGGATATTTACGTTGTTTATTATAAGGGGACAGCGTCTTACACATTTATTCATTGATAAAAATGAGTTGTATCTGCGTAAAATTCTTCTCTTTATCCCTCCTCTTACTTCTCACCTTTCGTCGCCTCGCCCCGCGTCTACAAATAGAGTGTATCGATTGTCGAATATTATATTTTATCAATGAATGATTATATATCTGTTATCTCTGATCTACAACCATTGTTAATTATACGGAAAGAAAATTAGGATAAAATCAATTTGATAAGGAATCATTTCTATATGTTTTCAGATATATACAGTTGGAACGGTATATAATAAGCGATGATGTTGTTTAGACAGAGGTAGAATAGTGCATGTCAGCCTAATAGGGGTAGAGGTGTTTCCATACGTCCAATCACATCAGACGGTTACCCAATTCGTACATTTTCGTAATTAAAAATATAAACGAGTTTCTTGAAGTGATAAATGTTTAAAAAGATTAAATAGTTCTAAATAAATAAAAAGGGAGTTAGACGAAATCCAGGGTGAGTATGCAACAGTTGCAAAACTAGGTTGCTGAAGTTAAAGACGATAAAACGAGCATAGAGGATGCATCACGATCTGGCATACCAAAAAGAGCTACCGATTAAGAAACGCTTGAAAAAGTACATGACATTGTGAATGATGGCCAAGTAAAGAAAAGAGAGATATAGCAGATTAAGTAGGCATTTCATGTTATGCATGGGGTATTATAATACTGCCCGTTTCTGTCGCTAACGCAGCAAGGGAATAATCTCGATACTCTATCTTATCAAGTTGGCTAGATTCCCCTATTATGAATTACGTTCAGTTATTGTAGAATTAAAGGAGTCGTTATCAACCAGAAACACTGTTGCACCTTCTAATATTGAAGGCATGACACTTAATAATATCGTTAATAAAGTATACGAAAGACAAAAAAGGCAGCGTAATCTACTTCTGTTTAATGTCCCAGAATCCCAAGAACGAAATGCGCAGGAACGAATTGAATCTAATAATCAAGTGGTCTGTAATATCTTATGTCACGTGTTACCTGAGAATGCTATTGATTCCGATATAAAACCTATTAGGCTAGGAACATTTGTTCCCGGCGCTAAGGCTACACCATTAAAAATTATGCTGGCGGATAGTCAACATGTATTTAAATATTTAAAGAGTTCTAAGAAACTATGCAGTTAAAGCTTTATAAATCTGCCAAGGAAGAACTAGTTAGACGTTTTGGAAAATGGTGAGGAAAATCTAAAAATCAAATATGTCGACGAAATGCCTACAATTGTAATTTTAACTAAAATTGCCCATTGAATTTTATAACATATATTATCAAAATGTTCATGGATTAAGGACAAAGATTGAAGAGTTTTACACAAGTATTTGTTCCAATGATTACGAACAGAGAGCTGGCTGTACCCCGAAATAAGTAGTTACGAATTCTTTGATCAACGATATAATATTTTGCGTTGTGATAGACGTTTCGAAATTCTGAAGGTCGTTAGAGGCAGTGTGCTTTTTATTGCCTATAAAACACCTTAAAATTACAAAAATTGACTGTTCTAGTGTTACTAATTTAATGCCTAATGTTGATATTACTGGTTGCAAATGTTACTTTGGAAACACAGTTGTGAATATGTTTGTAATTTATATCCCAGATCTCACTGCGCCCATGTTTGAAGATTTATTTGATTTGCTTTCAAACCTCGTATCTGTATATGAAAACATAATTATGATTGGCGATTTCAATGTACCGTCCTTTAACAATGTCAACGTTCACGATAGGCAAAAGCCAATTCTCAACGATTTTGTTGATTTATGTCATTTTAGTCAGTTTAATAATGTACCTAATGATCTAAATAGACTACTAGATTTGGTTTTGTGTAACTTTGACTGCAACTTGCGTTTTTGTCGAGAAACTCAACCCTTAGTATCAGAAGATTTTAATCATCCTGCACTTGTTGTAAACTTTTCAATCAAGACTGATATTCACGTTAATTTTCAAGTTAATACTCCACAAAGTAAAAGTTACAATTTTAGGAAAGCTCATTTTCCAAGTCTATACGAGTACAATGCTTTGGACACAATGAACTGGTCATTTTTAGATTCCTATAATGATGTTGATTTGGCGTGCTCTATTCTACATTAAACTCGCTTTTTAATTTATTTGTTCCGTTACGCAAAAAATGTAATCATGATTACCCTCCGTGGTTTGATTCAAGTTTAATTAAGAAAGTTAAACAAAAAAAAAACTTTTTTTGTAAAAAATTAAAAAGGAACTAATAATTCATTTTATTTAAATCATTTTAAAATTCTAAGAAGAGAAATTAAAAAACTTGGTTAAAATTGCATAATATGATACTTATATTACCAGAGTTGAAAATTCTATTACGGATAATCCTAAACAATTTTGGAATTTTGTTCAAAACAAAAAAGGATTCCGGGAGTCTTACATAAGGACAAAACGCTATATGACAGTCCTGAAAGTATTGTGGATGGATTTGCCGATTATTTTAGGAGTGTTTATACTCCTCCCTCTGAGCATAACCTAAGCGATAATTTTAACTGCCTCCCTAACATTAATATACAGAAATTGACTGATGTGGATATAATCAATGCTATCAATAAATTAAATGCTAAAATTACAGCGGGTGATGACGCTATACCCAGTTTTATAATAAAAGACTGTAAACATATATTTGTGCAACCTCTCAAGTATTTATTCAATTTATCTCTAAAAACTTGCACTTTTCCTGAAAAGTGAAAAATAGCTCGTGTCTGTCAAATTTTTAAGTCAGGAAATCCATCTCTACTAAATAAATATCGCCCCATCTCTGTTCTTAATAATTTTTCAAAGGTTTTTGAAATTTATATTTATAACAAAATTTATCCACTCACGAGACACTTAATATCAGACTGTCAGCATGGTTTCATGGCAAATAGATCTACTGTGACAAATTTATCTTGCTTCTCACAATTTTTACGTGAAACCCTCGATGACTGTGGACAAGTAGATGTTATCTTAACTGATTTTGAAAAGGCTTTCGATAAGATTGACCATATAATAATTGCTAACAAATTAAGTTTTTCAAAATCAATGCAAATGTTCTTTCTTTCCTATTTATCATTAAGAAAACAATATGTTACTTATAATGGCTTCTCATCAAAACTATTTTTCGCTACGTCAGGAGTGCCCCAAGGTTCCAATTTAGGACACTTACTTTTTTTATCCTTTATCAACGATGTTACGGATTTCATTTCTTGTCCAAAACTCTTGTTTTTAAAATTTGTGACATATGTGACTGTATATTTCTTCAGGAGTAGTTAGATCAGTTACTAGTTTGGTGTAGGCGCAATAATTTATTCCTTAACATTAAAAAATGTAAAGTTATACTATAAAAGTGAACCCAATAATTTTTATTTATACAATAAACAGTGAAATTTTGTCCAGATATTCCAAAGTTGAAGACTTATGCGTTATTTTTGACTCAAAGCTAACCTTCAACGATCATATTGACACAATCCGTAAGGAGGCACATAAAACACTTGGGTTTTTAATTAGAAACTGTCTGAAGTTCACAACCGATCTTTCTCTCAAGGCTTGTATTTTGCTTTAGTGCGTTCTAAACTTGAATATACATCCTTCATTTGGTATCCAAAAACAGCGGCCCAAAAAACCTGCATAGAAAGTGTGCAACGAAAGTTCTTAAAATTTCTCAATTATAAAGTACACGGCATATATCTTCCTTGAGGTTTTAACGAGCAAGTCTTGCGAAACCGATTTGCCATTCAAGCACTTAAAACTCGTAAAGTTGTAATGTCAATTTTAATTATTTATAAAATTATGCATGACCTAATTGATTGTCCATTTCTTCTT